GCTACGTGCTGGTATAACATACCTTGGGTCCAGCGTATTGACCATGAACCTAAACCCCTCACCATCGACTAAAATATATGGACGTAAATCCTTGGTGATATAGCAGGTGATGGAGTGGGAAATCTTCACAGATCTTGGAGAATTAGCTGGAAGTTTGTTGCATTGCTCCAGAGTACGTTGGTCGGCTGCTTTTGGATGCATTTGGACGTCTTTTATCTCGGGGTGATGTYRCGCCAAATGCRTATTTCCAAAGTATTTCAATTTCATTTTGCACTGCYTGCAGATAATTATGCTCATGTCGAGCTCTTTTTCCCCCGGGGCATTGTAGAAACCAAAGTGTGTCCAAACACTGGCTTTTAGCGACGACGGAGTGGGTTGAATCAAGCTCTCCTCCTGCTCCATGCTAACAGACTCCATTAAGCAAGGGAGCTGGCTAACTAGCTTAGCGCCGCTAGTAGAGATGCCGCCTTCTATGGTGGCTGCAAGGGTAGCGTAATCTACAGTACAGATTACGTTATCTTTCAGATTTGACACACTTTAAACACATTTTAAAATCAATTTGTGGAAGTTTAGAATCGATTCAGAATCGCCATAACTATGAATCTCGATCCTTTTAAGAATTTTTTTTTTTCCAACACCCCTAGGGGTAGGGGTAACTCTCAAATGGGATTTGATATTTTACTAAAGCCTCAAATTGGCACTCTAAAAAAATCTGTTTTTGACTGAAAAAAGAATCAGTCACCACAGATCCGGACGCCCCTTGCATTTTCGGCCCGACATGACCACGTTGGAGGTGTCAATATCTGGTTACAGGCTGGATTTACACCAGAAAGGTGGTGAAGCTGCAGCTTGACCAGCTTCTCTAAAGGGCCTAATGAATAATTAAGAAGCGGGGCTTATATGAAGAAGTCCATTAAGATGCAGAGTTACACTCGTCTCCATAGAAGCAGGGTCGTATTATCAGAATCGTATTTCTTTTATAGACCAACAAAATAGTTTGTGATGTTATCAGACATCCTTTGTCATTAATTGAACAATGAATTGAGGATTTTTATGAGCAAWTTCGAAAGCGGAAAAAATGTAGGGACATCCTTTTGTGATCTGAGCCTTGATAGAAGGTAGGTCACACAGCAGGACCCCAAACAAGACGATCCACCAAGAAACGCTTACAGAGGCATTGATTTATTGGTTTAAAAGTCAAAGTTTCTAAAGTCACCCATGTATGTGTGGAAATTAGCCATCATGCCTTCTTTGAACTGAGMTTTAGAATTTATTAGAAATTACTAAAATAAGATTTCCATAATTCTTATTTGCATCAGACATAAGTCGAGCATCCATCAGTTATTGTCATTACATAAATAAACCCAGTATTACAACCATCTGTCAATTTTTTAAATACATATATTTTCCTGCATTAAACAGAGCCAAAATGTATAATTCAATTAATGACACTTCAAACATCTTCCTTACAGTAAAAGCAGACATTCTAATGTGAAACAATATTAAAAACAGAAATCTGTTTTATTTAGACAGGTAATCTCATTTACAAGAGAGACCTGTAATGTAGAAATGACTCATCATGCCTCCTATTTACAGTAACTCAAATAACATCTCTAACTTAACAGGTTTTATTAAATACGATGCAGAAAAAAAGTATAAAAATTTTACCTGGTTAAACATTTGGAACAATTTTACACCAAAGGAGCTTTGTTAACATAGCTCTTCTATGTAACAGGATCACTACTCTGATGAAAAACTTGCATCATTTACGCTTTATTAATCAACTGGGGTGGCCAATCAGGTTCCAGGTTCCCTGGGGTCTCCCTTTTGTCTCCACCCTTGCTTTTATATAGGGATACTTTCAAAGGTGATCAATAATTGATGGCCGTGACTAAATCTGAGACATATTTCCACTTTTCGTGCTCATTCACCGAGCTCTTAGTGTTTCTTTTTCTGTTTGGTGGTGCTTTTGTCTCTTTTAGACTACGCAAATTCACTTTGACATGCTTGAACATTTCCTAAAATACTTTTAAAAGGAAGTTATTTCTAGCTTCCACCACAGAAATGGATGTGGGGTGGGGGGGGGTAATAAAAAAACACATTTTCCATCGGCCAGCCATCAGGACTGGTGGTGGTGTTTATCAAAGATCTTTTCTACATTTTGATCAGTCCTGTAGGTTTTGGTTAACCTAACTAGGTTATTCTGACCTGACCTCTTGGCCAGGTCACCCCTGGAATAGAGATATTGATCTCAATGGGTTTTTTCTGGTTGAATAAAGGTGATTGATTTTGAGGGGTAGAAAATATGAAAAGTACTCTACAGACGAATGTAGTCATGGATGGCTTAAATGGTCTTGAATTAACTCGGTTTGAGTCTAATAATGAGCTTTGTATCRTTTTTCTGAATGTCCCCCAGAAATTATAGATGTTTGGGTCAAAATGTCTGCTAACAGATGCTGCATCGTATTAGAAAAACAGCACATTTTCTGATATGGTTATTGAATATTACAATGATGATGTTGTTTGCAATAACCTGCAATAGCACTAACCTTTCAACTATATTCTTTGAAATGGGCTTAATATGATAGTGGCAGTACATCAGATAGTCAAAATTTTTACTTTTGTGCCAGACAGCTATGTTATGTGGTGAAACCTTTAACAMCTTTTTAAAAATTTGAAACTAGTGTAAATATTGTTTGATGCCATGCCGATCAGGTATTACATAACARACTATATTTGTGTTTTCATAACTCTGGCTGGTTTCCTCGGAAAAGGTGATGGTTACAAATTAAAATGTTCTTTCCATGTTTGTTAGTGGTTAGTTGTAGTGGAAAAGTAAATATTTGTGTTGTTTCAGAGGATGTATCGGTGGTATAGCTGTTTAAACAAGTTGTCACAACATGTCACTTGACAGCACTTATTGAGTACAAATTGTATATTTTTTTACTTATTGCTTCACCACAYATTTTCAAGAGTTTAAAAGTCCGCCAACAACTAACTCATCAGCCCTGTTAGATCATAAAAACATGCTTAAATTAAAACGTAATGTTCATRATCAATATTAAATTGCGTACACAGTAAAATACCATTTCTGGAGAAAATTTTAAGGAGTTTTGACCAAAATTCCAGAATTAGTTTTACACCAAGGTGTCCAATCCTAGTCTTAGAGAGTACTACCCTGTAGGTTTTATAGGTTCTCTATTCAAACTCACATGTTTTGAATAAATGGGCAATTAACAGGCTTCTGCAGAATTTGAGGAGGTAATTTAGTCACTGAATCAGGTGCACTGGTGCACGGAAACGAGGAAAACTGGACTGGACACCATCGGTAAAACCAAGCTGATAAATTGCTGACATTTTAATGTATTAAATGTGGAAAAGAGTGGAAAAGAACCACAATTCAAAGAAATATTAACTCTGCTATAAAGGGCTCATTCCTGCCACTCCCTGTTAGCATTCAGGTGAGTGCAGGCAGAAAAGCAAACTGAAAATTAAACCTAAAACTAGGGCTGCACCGATTAGTTGAAATAATCGATGACGTCGATTATGTAAATTTGTCGACGCAGATTTTTTATTATGATTCGCTGTATTACATAACCACCACGTGAATGTTCATGCAATTCCATTTCGGTACCTAAATGCATCATTGCGACCGTATTGGCATAAGAGTGGTAAGTTTTCCATGCGTGTCCTGAAGCAGCATCGCGCAAGAGCGTAATGACGTCAGCAGCCGCTGCTTCAGTTCAGTCTGTAGCTTGAAAACAAGCCTCGCAGCTCCTGGAGTAAAATTTACCAAACAGACCGCCTCTGAATTATCTGGTGGATCAATTATCTTGTGAACACGATGTTCGCTTGCTCAAAGTAAATAAAGTACCGCCACTTTCTTTGTCATCCACCATTAAACAGAGACCGGTGTTAGGTCGAGCCACGTTCCCCCATCAGACGGTTCCCCCATCAGACGGTTCCCCCATCAGACGGTTCCCCAGTGTCTCAAACAACAGAGGCGCTTCCCGACACACGTCTGACCTAAAGAGCACAAGCAGCCAGCAAGTGTTGGACGTGTTTTGGATGTTCAAAACGTAACTTAAATACCTTTTATTTATTTTAACTGCATCCTCTTTTGTTTATTTGATTTAAACTTATTTGACTTCCATGGACCTCCATCACACATTTTTTCTAGTGGGGAAATGACATCAATAGAAATATGTGGAGCTGGATATTAATTTGTGTAATAAGACAAAACAGTCTTGTTGTTTTCAACAGTTTTCACCTTAAAGAAATAAGTTACACAACTGATGTTACAATACAAAGAGTTGGATGTTGTCTAATGTCTAAATGTTTATTATATGTTTGTTATAGGTTTTCCAGAGAATGACTTGAATTTTGCATGATTTAGTTGATTTGTTAGATTGT